GAAATAAGAATAGTAAAAACTGTGCGGTTGAGATTTGTGCAGAGGAGAGAGAAATGTGCAGAATCACAAATTAGTTGCTTTAATAGGAAAGTGGCAAAGTTTTTTGGGACAACCAAAAAGGGAAAGTTGGCAAAGTCCAATGGGACGGAGGGAGTATATGAATTAGCTCATAATTTCTAGATTAATTTTTTATTACTTTGATGTTGCAAAACGGGAGCCTTGGCGCACCAGTTACACTATTGCTGTGTGACCGAGAGGTCACGGGTTTAAATGTCTTGTCAAAATAATGGAAGGCATGCTTCATATCACAATTATGGTGGGACTTCTGCCATGCGGGACACCAATGTGCACCGGACTGCCCTTTATACTTTGTTGTTAGTTGTTGCAGGACAAACACTTCAAATGTCCCCTTAGTCCAACAAGTTTAAATACCGGACCATGCCATATTAATAGTTACCATCCTAAAAAGGTCAACTCCATACTTACAAAGAGCAGCCTAAGATTTTAGATGTTGGTTTAATATTTTTCTTGTGGCTGACAAAACTTAACAAAACAAAAAATTACTATCACCTCGGTTTCTTATTTCTAATTTCAGAATAGCAAAAAGGAAAACATAACACAAAAAATAAAAAAATTACGAACCCAAACCAAAGTTTTTAGCAAAAACTTTTTTACCAAACTTACTTCTGATCAAGATGTGCCAAAATTCTGCCATCAGGAAAAGCTTCTTTTGTGGCATCATAGGCTGCTTTAATTGCTTGTCGCCATGTTCCTCCAATTTCTTCTGCTTTCAATTTTCTCTGTCCTGGATCTTCCATCGGCAAAGAATATCCAGACAATAGATGACCAACCCAACCACCATCTTTCCTAAATAAATTATTCAAGAAGGTTTGATCAAAGTTCAGTAAATACCTACTCCATACGAAGGATTATTCAAAAGCTTCAACTGCTAAAAGAATGTTAGGCTGGAAAAAATGAGTAACTGGATGATGTCCATATGCCTGGGAACATAGTGTCCTCCACCAAGTCCAAGCAGAACCTTTTTCTTTTCTGTCTTGCTGCTGGAAATACATCAAATTTTGAGTATTAATTTTCAAATATAAGTGAATTTATATGAACAGAGAATGAATTGAATAATCACTAGTTCACTACAATACATAATTTAATTACTAATGTCTGAACATTCAAAATATCAGACATTAAACATTACCTGTTCCAAGTCCCAATGGCAGTACCTCCTCCCAGGCCAAGTCCTTCCCAAATTAGCTTTCGAGATCAAGAAAACACTATTTTAGGACATTATTACAAAAAAAACGTTTTGAGTTTTTCTTAAAACGCATTAAAACCCCATAATTAATACGAGAGTATATGCTTTCACTCATAAAAAATATTTATAACAAACTTGTAAAAAATCATTCATACTACTACAACCACATTTTACAAGGAAAACAAATGAATGTAGTAAATGGAGGGGAAATTAGGAAAGAGAGTTAATATTGTACCTAAAAACTCCAAAATGACACATCTACGAAATTAAATCTCCAAAACATGTATTGTAAGATCAGCTAGTATATATTAACTCCCTAATATGTTATTATCAGACACAAACATCATACAACAGAAAACCTAAAGCAAATAAGCCGTTTTCACATATTTAGCAGGTCAATATGAACTATACTTACTAAAGCAACAACTTGAGCAGCATCTTCCCTCTTCCAGTACTCCTCTGTGCTCCCTATAATTTTTTTTAGCAAATGCAGAAATTATATAAAAAGTTGTAAGTAATGAATCATGCTCATCTTCTGCATTAATGATAAAATGCAGCAATGAGATGTATAATATTGAAAAAGAAGACAAAATGGGTAAATAGCACTGGATATGGGTATAAAGAAGGAAAATCAGCCGATTTCCGTGTTACCAAACGGGCTCACAGTATATATCGGATATGGTAGCAATGGATTATCTTAAAGCTTACCTATCTCAATGAACATTGTTGGCTTGGTAGTGATGGGTCCATGATGAGTAGCCTCCAAAGTAATCTACACATAGCACAAAACAAAAAGAATCAGACCACAAAATGCAACAATATATTTGAAGGAAAAACTCATGTTGGTTGGTATTTTAATCTCAGTAAACCAGTCATAAAAACTGTATGTTTTTTTATGCTTAGCTGGATTGATTGCTTGTTGAATTTACTGAGCTCTGAGAAACATCAAGACTTGGAAGTTGGAACTCATCCAAGATTGTCCATTTCGGCTAGTATTTTTATACATATCCTATACTGAAGGGCTTAAACGAGCCAAATCCGTAAAGGAAAAAAAGCATGAAAATTACACATATAAAGAAAAAGATTAAAACTTCTCAAACAATTAAAAATACCTCAAACTCAGGAAGGAGATTATGATCCTGAGCAATCTTCTTCAAGAGAATCAGCCAAGGACCCATTCTGGGATTGGGCGGGGCCGCCCACCCAGGCCGCCCTCCTTGTGGCGGAACATCATCTTGTCTCAAATGGGGCACTCCTAAATTACAATAACAACAACAAAAATCAACCTCAGATTATATCATACAAGTTGCAACTAAAAATCTATTGAAACATCATTTTAATTGTTAATGTTATTTGCAAATTGCAAACTGTGGAAATTTAGTACCGATTGGGTGAATAGTGAGGGCGGGGCGGTTAGAGACAGCGGTATGTTTACTGAGGAAAATGACCTCGTCTACAGATTCACCGAAAACCTTATTCCAGCGAAGATCCAAGTCGTCCTCCTCAACAATTCTCTTGTCATGCTGAAGCAATCTGAGTTGCTGGTTAGAGAAGCTTCTGACACCCGGGTCAAGGTTTGGTCCGGGAGTCCACCCGGGCATGGATAGCAGCGCCGTGGCCGGACCATGGGACGCCGGGTCCGTCGTCGTCGCCACCACCAAAGTCACCATTGCTTTGTTTGAGCAAAAATTGTGGCACTTAGGGGTGTTGTGAATCGTCCATGGAAATTGAACAAAGAGTGGCCGCTGATTGTGAAGTCCAAAAAGTCGAAATCGGAAAAGGTTGAGTTGAGGATGAATCATGAGAATCAGAGAATGCGTTTGACTGCTCCATAACGTTAAATAAACTGGGGAAAAAAAAATAGGAGTGCAACAAAAAGCGTGCTACTGCCCAGGATCGAACTGGGGACCTTCAGTGTGTAAGACTGACGTGATAACCACTACACCACAGCAGCTGGTGCTTACTAATTCCAAATTTTTATAATTGATATTGGTACTATTACACATACTCGCAATTTCCTTGAACGATGATTACACATTTACACCATACTCTGAAGCCTGAAGGTTGCCCACACTTGTTTAGATTGTAATTAAGAAATCTAAATGACAAATGATACACCTTATCTACAGGGGTGGAGACAGGGAGGGGCTGGAGGGGGCCACGGCCCCTGCAAGAAAAAAATTCTTAAGTATATATTATGTATAAATACTTTTAATCTATAGAAAATATGTTGATATTTTAAACTTTGGCCCCTGCAATGTAAAAATTTTAAAGACCGGCCCCTTCAACCATAGATTTCTGGCTCCGCCACTGCTTATCTACCTTTAGTAGATCCCCTGTTTTATTTGTGTGTATAGATGAACTACATTTTTATACTAGATGCACCTTATACAAGAAAATAGGGGTGTACAAAAGAGGGATAACAAAAAATTTATCAATAGAATTGTTCTAAACATTTGTGCACCTTATATACCTATTCTTTACAAACCTTCTGCTCGACTTGGGGAGCAGTGAAGAATAAAAACCCAAACCGTCTCTCACTCTTTCAAGTTCTCTTTTGAGAAAATGGAAATTAATAATCCAACCTTTTAACGGTCTTCTTACAATAGTCCAATTGTTTTGTTATTCATGGATAATCCAACCTTTGAATCTCATCTTCATTCATCGGTCCCTGACCGGTTGATGACCTGCTATTCCAAGTTATTTTCTTATCTTTGCAAACCATTATACCATAAATCTCACATTTCAAAAAAAATGTTTTTCAATGATAAGAAAATAACTTAGAATAACAGGTCATTAACCGGTCAGAGACCATCGAATGAAGATGGGGTGCAAAGGTTGGATTATTCTTGAATAACGAAAATGTGGGACTATTGTAAGAAGACTGCTAAAAGGTTGGATTATTAGTTTCCATTTTCCCCTCTCTTTTCTCCTCAAGTTTTTTCTCCTCTTAAAGATAAAAAATGATACAGAGTATACTTAATCAGTATTTTCAAGTTATTTTATATGAAATCAATTGGGTGTTAAAACTTTATACGGAGTACTTGATTATTGATAATTCTTGTCCTGATTGATTTTTTGAAAGATTAACTGCAAACATTGGTGATTCCGAGACTTCAATGATCCAATTATTCGCCATCATCCCGAACCACCGTCATGCTATAAAAGAAAAATAACGCTCAATTGAATCTTCTCAATAGTTGGTCAAATTGAGAATTCTATATGTTTCTTTCTAATGGTTAACAAATCAGATTTTCTATTTTTTCTTTATGGGGGTGGTGATGAACCGATTTATTTTCTATCGCGGTGCAGTTTTAGTACTATTTTTAGTCTTGATTATTGGATTAGTAGATTGAACTTCTACATTGATAGTCTACATCCAAGCGAGATTAGCCACTCGTTATGTTGATTTGGAACATTTCAGTTCTATGCCTCATCCTATTGTAGTGTTAGGCTATCTGAATTACTATTGTATCGATTAGTTTTACCATTATATAAGTGTTTTTCATTCAAAAATTATTTAATTTGTGCCTATATAATATAGAAAATATCACTACCTCCGTCCCCCTATTATTTTCTCATTGCGGTTTACGATGTTTGAAAATGCTTTATATATTTTTTTAGAAAAGAATTACATATTCAAACACTACATTAAAGCTTTACAAAGTCGTAAAAACCAGAATCAAATTTCATAGAAATTTGATACATAAATAAGAGATTAAGAATGATTTGTATTGATCAAGCGAATAAGAAGTGAAACAATAATAGGGGATGGAGGAATACTTCGTAAAACATTTACTTTGATCGAGACAGATTTCTCCATCTTTCAAACGACACGATCCATTAAGTCAATAACTCAAAATCTTAACATGGAAAATACCAAGTAAATGTGCAGTTACTAAAAATCTCAAACACTGTATATCTAGTTTAGGTTTTTGGTGTTGAAACTTAAGGAGCTGTGTATGCCTGTATCTCGTCCACGTTGAGGTTGTGTCACAAGTTCAATCCTCTCCGTCTGGCCTCTTTAGAAAGGATAGGCGTTTGACCTGCCATGCATGAATATACAAAAACATCAATTTTTTTTTAACTTTTTTGTTCAGATGAAAGATTAATGTTTTATGGTTAAAGGGTCAAATGGGCGCTCGAATTAACCTAAAAAATGCAATTCACCCCTTATATAAGAGGTCATGTTCTGCCGTCGCGAATTAGGGCGGTTGCCGGTTGAATTTTTTGATGAATTTTTTTGAGCAACTTCTTCATTAAGTTTAGTTTACTCATACCAAATTTCAGATAAAAATTCAACCGGAAAGACAGTCAAATGATTTTCTGAAATGTACTGTGTTGTTTAAGTGCGTAGTTATCTTCAAAAATTCATTTGACTGCCTTCCCGGTTGAATTTTTATTTGAAATTTGGTATGGGTAAACTAGACTTAATGAAAAAGATGCTCCAAAAAATTCATCAAAAAATTCCACCGGGAACCGCCCCAATTGGCGACGGCCGGACAGAGCCTCCTATATAAGGGGTGAATTGCACTTTTTAAGTTAGTTCGAGAGTCTATTTGACCCTTCAGCCATGTTTTATTTGTACCCTTTTCAAACTTCATCGTATTTACCTATATAATCACTGAAGTAACATAAGTATATTCTAATAGAGTTTTTGCCACTTTTAGTCTTTCGACTATTGTGTTAGTGACATTTTTAGTACTCGACTTACCATTTTTTCTATTTTTGGTCCATCGATTATTGGGAAAGAGACACTATTAGAACTTGACTTCAATTCCAAGGTTCTCACATTTGATCCATTGAGTATTATCAAATTGACACTTTTAGTCCTTCCAATATGATTTGGTCACAATAAGTAAAGAACTAAAAATGTCACTATTATAATAGTTCAAGGCCCAAAAGTATTACTTTTACGAAAGTCGAGAGACTAAAAATGGAAATTTTCAAAGGTGAGTACCATCCGCACATAAATAGTTGAAGGATTAAAAGTGACAAAATCTCTACTCCAATATCTAGAAAATTATATATCGTGTAAATGAATAATTTAAGATATGTACTAGTAATTCCTAGTATATTACTAGAATGGAGAACAATTTATGAACAAAAAATCGATTAAAATTATTATAGATACGGCGTCAAGGCACTGCAGTATTACCGGTATAAAATGGACGTAATAATGTTCGCTAAATTAAAGTTAAGAAATTGGTCATAAATATGAGAAGTCATATTTCATTATTTATTTACAATAGAAAGCAATTAATTACATTAAAAATTAAAAAAATGAAATACTATGTACACCGTATTATATATATGGTTCACTTCTAGCAAGAATGAAAATGAAAATGATCCAAAATGGCTCACATTCTAGTTCTGATGCACATTTCATGTTGAGATCATGCGCAATTTGAAGAAACAAAAAATGTTTGAGTTATTTATAAAAATGTCATCACATTTTATGTCATCACATTTTTTCAATAGTGAGGTTATATGTTCCAATTTCATATAATGCACACTCTCAAATCTCATTTTTTCAATAGTTACATTACATGTTTCAATTTCATATAATGCACACTCTCAAATCTAATGTGGATGCAATCTCATTTCTGTTGTTAGATTGCATTCTCATTTGGTCTAATTAAAATCTATATATATGTGTGGCATATTATGTGTGTGTTGTTTTGATGTATAAAAAACACTACCCCGTCTCAAATTGATTTGTATAATTGATTTTTTTGTCAAACAATTCATCTACTTTATTCATTTAATTACAATGTCAATTTTTTATTGTATTTGAATTTGGAGTTTGCAACTTTGAAAACATTTTAATGTAATTTTCGAATATATAAATTTTAATTCTTGAAAATTGATTTAATTATCAGTGTGGAGGATTTAACTTTAAATTTGGTTGATTGAAAATATTGACTTTGCAAATCAATTTGGAACGGAGGAAGAGTAGATACCAGGCATGGCTATATTTTACACACCTAACATTTGTGGAATGATAGTCAAATGGATGGTTAGCATGATAAGGAAGGGCTCCCCTTATAGGATATGCTTGATGACCATAATGGGGCTTATGGCCATGACCATACATCAATTGTCCATGACCATAGGAAGCATCATGACCATACATCGAGCGACCATAGCCATGACCGCGGGCAGAGCCTTGAGGATACATCGAATTACGTCGCAGCCCAGGGTGCTTCAGATGGGCTTTCACTATTTCTGCGTGTTCACCTTCTCTTGATAGTGCACTCAATAGACGATTAGGATCCACTTCTCCACAGATTTTCAGTAAATTCTCATCCGCATCAATGCTAATCGAATATACACCTAATTAATTAATGCACATTTTTAGGGTTTAATTAAAGATATGTGTATATGTGTATAAATATGAGTGTTTACAATTGATTCTGTTTTTATTTGTTAACCAGAAATATAATCATAATATGTTTTGCACAAGCTGGTCTTTTTCGACTTTTCAAAAACTGTTTCACTTAGAAGTATTTTTGCACGTTCACTCAAATATTTCAATATCTGCTTCTGCAACTCACTAAAGAAGAAAAAATGATTTATGAGGCAGATCCAAACACTCCATAATACTATTAGAATAAATTGCACTTGTTTACAGCTTTTTCTAAACACATCTAAAATGAAATAAGAGGGATAATAATGATACACCTTTTTCTAAACACATCTAAAATGAAATTAGAGGGATAATGATGTACCAGAGATAGAGCTTATAACTTCAACCATCTTGTACTTACATGCACCACAATTAGTATTCACTCTCAAAATACAATTCTGAACCAATAACAAAAAGCATATTAGTATGAAAAATATACTCTGTATAAAAACCTAGCCCCATTTGTTTTTTTTTTTGAAGAAACCTTACCCCTTTGATTATTAGGTGTAAACATGCTAGTTATACATTATTACGCAGATAACAATATAGTTCAAATTCGGACATCCAAATGCGAAATTTTTATAGAAAATTGAATTTAAACATAAAGAACTCATAAACTTACCACATCAGCGTATGGCTCCATTGTATTGCCCAATAGATTGAAGAAACAGCATAATGCTCCTGACTTATCTATATACGGACTATATAACTAACGTTTTTATTGCTTCAAAAGGAAGATATTTTATTTCCAAAACTGCCATACTTTTATTTTATTCTTTCACCTAAACGAGTAATTAATTTGGAAATAGTCTATTTGCATAATAATACTATATATTTACTTTCCTTCACAACAGCCAACAGGTTATTATTATGATATTAAAAAAAACAGGTTATTATTAAGGGTATCCCCATTGGTAGGATTATTAAGAGATTAAATAAGTAACGTGACAAATTTTTTATAGAAGCATCATTGAGAGACATAAATTATTTAATGAGATTATTTGCTACAATAATACGGGATCAAAATATGAATCCAGATTATTTTAAGATTATTTAAATTGTATATGTAATAGAAGTTAATGCAGGACCAAAAAAATCGGATTATTTGAAGATGATGGTTGGGAGACATAAACGAATATTGAGATTATTTAAAAATTAATTATATAACAATATTTAAAAGGTAAGAATCATAGAAAAAATTGATTATTAGAGATCATGAATGGAGATGCTCTAAGAACCGCTCAAATAATTTTGCTCGTTTCCTCACTAGCTTCCCGTTCTATTGGTGCAGGAATTTGACAGCTTATCTGTTGGTGCAGGAATTTGACAGTTTATCCTACATTCGAGAGGCTTGACCACGACAATAAATGAGGCATTTATTAGGTTTAATGGTAGCTAATTATTATAACGGTTTTGTATGTATTATTATAGCTATTAATATATTCAAATAGTAGTTACTCAAAAGGGTTGACCGACATTAATGACGACATAATGACAACTTTGAATGTCGTCATAACGGTCGAAACCGTCAACAACGGACAAAAAAGCATTAATTACCTCTTCTCTAAGTAGTATCGAGCTCAGTTGTAAGAGACACATCTCATTCGAATTACACATAAAATCACACTCTATTTTGCTCCTTAGCATCTTTCTTGTTATTCGTGTCACCTTCTTTACCGTTCTTGTACGAGACCCAGTCAATATACACTTTCCATTTTAATTAGTTTTAGCTTGTCAAAATTTTGCTAAAACAATTTGACGCCGTCTGTGGGAAATCGTGCAAGAAATCTATCCTACATGGAAGAAACGAGCAGTGAGATGATGGCCGAGTTTCATAAGCAATTGGAGGCAATGAAAGAAGAAATCCGTCGTGAAGTGGCGGAACGGATGGCTCACCTGCAACGAGAAAACTACGTACTACGATGTGCAATCGGCGGTGTCCATAGTCTCCCATTTAAGAAACAATCGAAGGAGCGACGCTATGACCACTGCTTCTAGGCTGGACCTAGGCTTCACCTCGGCTGCGACGGAACCACTCGCCACCATAACAGATCTCGTCTCTTTCACGTTAGGCTGGTCACCGACTGGAGAATCGGGACCGTCAAATCAATTCGTTCCCCCCTCCAAATCCTTGACGAAATGTCTTCCACGACCTGTTTGCGAAACTCAAAGACGACGAGCTCCGGAACATGTCAACATCACTAGACATGTCGACATCTCTATGCAAAGGCAGCAGGAACCTGAAGTCATCGTCATCTCATCACCAACTAGATAGGAGGCAACCCAATTGGTTACACCACACGTCCCGACCATGAGACAGGTGCAGGCGGATCTGACGGACCCCATGTACGTCATCTTAGAACAGCTGAAGGAGATGCGGGATAAAATCAACAACATTCCTGGAGTACCGCCACCATTGGGTATTGCTTCGCAGACGTCTTACACAGACTCTCCCTTCGGACGACATATCACTGATGTTGAGATTCCAAGGAAGTTCACTCCCCCATCAATGAAGTTGTTCGATGAAACTTCAGATCCCTTGGAACACATTGCACAATATAAGCAGCAGACAGTAGCCATTTCAGTTGGGCCAGAGCAATGGAAAGCTTGCATGTACGTGTAGAGCATTCAGGATGACAATAACGGGTCCAGCGTTGACATGGTTCGTCAATTTGCCCAATGAAGGAATCGACTCATTCGCAGAACTTATCAACCTGTTCAACCAACAGTTCGCAAGCAGCCAGGTCCTCGAAAAACAGACTAGAGACCTTAACCGAGTAATCCAACGACAGAGTGAATCTTTGAGAGATTATTTACACCGATTCAATAAGGAAAAAGTGTCGATCCCAAAATGTGACGTCTCTACCATCATTGAAGCATTCAGAAGAGGTTTGTATGAAGGTTCAGAGCTGTTCCACTAACTGACGAAATACCCTTGTCGGTCCTTCGAAGATGTCCAAGTAAAGAAGTTGGCTTTCATCCATCTAGAAGAAGACTTAAGATCTCGACGAAGACCATATTCGAGTGTTGAGACATGATTACAAGCATGGAAAACCATATTCGAGACCTCGGGAATGAGTCGTCACTTCTGTCACGAGATAGATCAGACGACATGATTGAAATCGACGGAGAGAGGGGCATGTCGTCCAATGATAGGCAGGTTCTGAAGAGCTCCAATTCGATACTCGTAAGGTTGTTTCATTTTTAGTTCATTATTTTCTTTTATTGTTGTCACTCCTAAGACGCAATAGACCGGACGACATAATTGAAATCATCGTTCGGATGGGGGCATGTCGTCTAATAATAGACCTGACGAGATGATTGAACTCGTCCGACTATGGACAGGTTCTGATGATAGATCTCTACTTAGTTTCATATATGTATTATTAATTTATTACTTTCCTTTACATATAAAACGATCACTAACTTAAGCGTCAGAGGGCCACTGGCTTCTAGCCAATGGCCGACGTTAACAAATTCTATTTTGCACGGGAACCGTGGAGAATGGGCGAGACGATGTCCTAACATACAAAGCCTTACAACACGTCAAAACACAATTGATGGGGGGCTTACATCAAACGAGGCCTTATGACACGTCAAAACATAATTGACGGGGGGGGGGGGGGGGGGGGGTACATACATCAAACAAAGCCTTACAAAAAAACATCAAAACACAATTGATGGGAGGCTTACAGAATTTTAGGGGAAGAAGTAGGAGTTTTCATGTACGCTAAACATGAGTATAAACACCACCGATTCTCCGCAATGTTTTGGCCAAAACTACAGAAATACACAACAGAAGCATATGCTCCAAAAACATGACAACAGAAACTCCAAAACATAAGGAGACAATACGAACAACATCGACACACATCACAAACACTCATGTCGACAATATGGCTAAAAATATAAACGAAACGTTATTCAAAATTTTTGCAGGACATGGACCATGTTCACGCAACCCAACTTGTCATCTTCAACGACGAGCGATGTTCCCTTTGCCAGTTGAAGTGTCGACATCGGCATGCAAGATGTTGTAAATTTATGTCATCTATTCGTCAACATAATTTTGGAGGGAAGAAGATAAAATGCCAGCTTTAAGTCTTCATTGTTTTAGTCAAGGAGACGAATTTGAATGGAAGTTATCCGAAAGAAAGACGGAATCATTTTATTAGATAAGGTGATCAATACGTCATGTCAAGTCGTTGACGAGCCGATAGATACAATGAACCAAGATGCGAAGTGTACTTTCAAATTTTCGACAAGTTGATGCTTAATAGGTCGACATATGCATGATACGCCTCAACTTCTCAATAGGGGGCTATTGTTGGTGCATGAATTTGACAAACTTATCCTACATTCGAGAGGCTTGATCACGACAATAAATGACACATTTATTAGGTTTAATGGTAGCTAATTATTATAACGGTTTTGTATGTATTATTATAGCTATTAATGTATTCACATAGTAGTTACTCAAAAGGGTTGACCAACATTAATGACGACATAATGACAACTTTGAATGTCGTCATAACGGTTGAAATTGTCAACAACTTACAAAAAGGCATTAATTACCTCTTCTATCAGTAGTATCGAGCTCAGTTGTAAGAGAAAAATCTCATTTGAATTACACATAAAATCACACTCTGTTTTTCTCTTTAGCAGCTTTCTTGTTGTTCTTGTCACCTTCTTTACCGTTCTTGTACGAGACCTAATCAATATACATTTTCCATTTTAATTAGTTTCAGCTTGTCAAAATTTTGCTAAAACACCTTCTTGTATATCTTATGTGATGTAAGGAATATATATAAGTAAATAATGTACGAGTGTTAGTGCATGTTTGGCAGACATAAGTTCCGCCTTATAACTTTTGTATTGTCTAAAAAATCTCTAAAAGCTTCTAGTTGTATGTTTGACATGACAATTTTTAATAACTTTTCAAACATTAAAAGATCTTTTTTGAGATGCTACATAGAGTAGCATTTGGAAAAAAGCCTGGGACTTTTAGTATTAATTCGTCCTAACAGCTTGTATACCAAACAAAACTAAATCAAACGGTCAGCTTTTTACAAAACAGCTACCATTTTTTCTTTTAAAGATCTTTTCAGTCACTAAAAGCTAACAGTTACTAAAAAGTTCACAAAAGTATCTTTTAAGCTAAGTGTGCCAAACATACCCTTAATGTGTTATAAGTAAACTTATGTACTCCCTATCAGGGGCAGAGCCAGGATCAGATGGAAGACCCCCGGAAGTGTTTATATTGTTTTGGGTTTGCGCTTTATTATTCAAACATATCTAATTATATCATGTGATATTTTTTTTTGCCATGAAATACTTACACATGTACACATCTGAATAGGGTGGGCACCACTAGGTGATGAGGAAATTAATTTATTTTTTATAAATTAAAAAATTGAGAGATATTCAAAGTAATTTATACTACTACCTCCGTCCCATTAGAATGTTCCGGTCTACTATTCACATGGTCAACTTAAATCATTTTTAATCTTTTACTATATAAATCAAATTTTATCAAATTTACATTTTTATCAGGCTTTGTAGCGGGTTTAATGTAGTTTCTGAATATGTAAATTTTATTTACTAAAAATAATCAGAGTGTGAAAAAGGATTAAGTTGCTTTATCGTCAG